TCCAAAAGACATGGTCATCTTTGGCCCCAACACTTTCACGACCTCCATCACATGTTGTACTCCGTAATCTTTCTCACTAGGATTCCCCTGTGCCCTCCCATCCCGCCGGTTCCAGGGCGGTCTCGGTGATTGGCAACGCGCGGGTCTGCCGCTGTCGGAAGGCGCCAGCGGCTCCAAGGGGCAGGGCAGCAGCAACAGCGGTGGTAGCTCGGGTGCAGCCACCGGGCGCGGAACCAGCAGCGGTCGCCTCACCGCCACCGCCAGCAGTCGCAACGGCACTGGCAGTGCGAAGGCAACCACGACCAAGGAGCTGGTGTCGGTCTCATCGCGAGGTCGCAAATGAGTGGAAAGGCCCGGGCACCCAGACAAGCTGGGTCAGCAGGGTCAGGGCAATGGAGTAGCGACACCGGGGAGGCGACGGAATGAGCGCCATGGGACCAGAGACACCTGTGCGGGCAGTGCGGCGCACTAGGTTATTATCAGGTGCTATCAGGGTCGGGGGATTCCTCGTTATTAGTTTTCAGCGATGTTGTATTGCTTTTGGCAATTAGAAGGTGCGAGAGGTGTGGTACACGTTTTGCTGAGTTGCATATGTAGTAAGTAGTTGGCATTAGCGTTCATCGGGAGTTGTAGCGGTCTTTGCCGTTACTAGTCGGTATGTGGCGGGATTCAGGCAGCAATGGTGGCAGAGGGGCTCCTTTGAGTGGAGATAGAGCGTTGGGTTTCCTTGGCACTCATCTGGTTGCTCGCTGAGAACTGCTTGTATCGGCCTGCTGTGATGGATTTTAGATATTTGCACCCACACTTGCTGGATAGATTCATAAGAGTCTCCAAACCTTAGCAACAGGGGCTTCTTGAGGTTGCTGAAGCTAATGCGAGCGTATCAAGGCCATTTTGCAGACAGATATGCGGTGGACTAAGGAATTAGTCCAATCCGTTCCTATAGCGTGAGAATACCGTCATTATGCACTGGAGAGGGAGGGAGTGAAGGTGGCCCATAAGCGACGGGCAGTTAGAGAGGAGAGATGGACTTTGAAAAGACGTCATGATCCTTTTACTGTGATTTCCTTTGTTGAGGAGGAAAGGCCAGAGGTTGTTGCGAGGCACCTTGCATGGTTTGGAAATGCAGT